AATGATACATGTGAAAAAAGAGTTTTTGCTACAAGGCTCTGTTTCCATGCAGTTTTTGATACGTTTGGTTCAGCTCGGCCAGTTATAAAATTATATTGGCTGGGCTCAGGTAAAGCTTCAGAGGATTTCATTGGTGTCGGTTAAAAGAAGCCTTAACTGTGCAGAAATATATCCCATGGTTCATGTGTTAAGTAATCGTTGAGGTCGGGAGAATTGTCTGAAACTTTTGGTTAATCAGTAGAACGACCTTTAACGGTCGTAAGTCCATGTAGATTTGATACGGAACAGAGTTAATACGTTGTTCATCAAACGGATCGATCATAAATATATCGAATCACCAGATGCCTGCACGCACGGATTGTATAGCGGAGAATGGGGTTTCGTAAGCATATACCCATAGGCTTGATAATCAACATATTGGCAATTGGTGATAAAACTCTAAGCATAATGAACAATATGACAGACAAGAAGAGTTTCAGAACAGGTAATACTAGCCAGGTACATGAGGGTACTACTACCCAGACACATACAGGTTTAAACAGATAGACGATTAAGGGACCTATTATAAATTGCACGAGATAAACGAATATAACATGGATAAAGAAAGCCCCTGAGCATCCAATTACAAAACAAAGTATCAAATGAGCTGCTAACCTAACTAGCCAAATGCATTTTAAGCTAAATGTCGCTTGAGATTCATAGATTGAGTCGCTCTTTATAATTTTTTCATCAATGACGACACAAGTGCAGGCGGTAATCATAAGAAGAGCATAAAAGAAAGGATTATACATGTACCTGCTCAACAAAGAAAAGTATGTTTTTTTTGGTGTCTAAACAGCAAAGTAAACAGAAGCATTAGAACATCTTAATATAATAATATCACTTTTTCGTCAATCCATGCGTGAAGAATTGATGTTGAATGATCACACTCATACTGAATTCCCTGGTTTGTGAACCCACTTGCCCATTCTAAAGCCTGTTCTGGGTGAAAGATATTTCTATCACTTTCATTGTTTTTTAAATCCATTGAGGAATAGTCGAATGACGCAATCGACAAGTTGTCCAATCCGCGGATTAACTGCAGAATCATTGCTGGGAATACTATCGATATACTTAAACGTTCAACACGTGGAAATAAGTGGTATACTTGTTTAGCGGTACATGCATGATTACTAGAAAAATCGGCGCGTATTTCAAGTGTCCGAATCTGTTCAAAGCGAAAGTTTTTAGTATACTTTACAAAGTTTTGCATGTTGTTCTTAATTGTTAGTCGACTCAGACGAGGCATTTCCTTAATAATAAATGGAGCTATTGACATATCAACTAATGACGACAGAATTAGATGGTGCACTCGATTCAAATCAACAATCGCAAGGAGATCTGCTCGCTGAATAGGCAAGCTGAGATCCAATGTTTCAACTCGTGTAAAACGATAGGAAGGAATTACATATGATCTTGACACTATCAGCTGTGTAATACAATCGTAGTAAAGCTTCATGTGAAGAGCCGTTGAGTGAATGGGTGGCTCAAAAGGTAGAATTGCGTATGTGTCCGCGAAGTAAGGTACAGAAAATAGACGGCTGTAGCTGTACGCCACGAACCAGCGTTTCTCTTCAAGCCAAAATGAGTTTTGAAACGAGTCGAGGATTTTTTCGACCGAATGAAGCTTTATCACGAAGAGAAAGTTGAACGTTATCAAATGACGAGTCAACATTTGCCAGCGATATCCATCGCCTAAATCATCGCCACCCTGAGCACACAATTCTAGATGTCTCAGGCAAGGAGTACTTAACACTAATCCTTTCAAATGATCCATTGATGTTGGGAAACCTGAAAATAATGCAGAAAGAATCATTACTTTCATTCTTGAGCACAAAGAAAATAGGTGAGAACTACAGTGCTTGAACAATGCTCTTCCTTTGCTCGAATTGATACTGATGTTCAGAGACCGAAACATGTTGAAAGCGATTTCAGTGTAGTTTCTGCGGAATTGAAATGCAAAACAACCAGATGGTTATTTCGATTTCTTATTTAAATCATACCTGAAAACCGAAATTGACTTATTATTTTAATGAAGCGCTATGCACCATCCCTACCATAGCTGCGCAAGTACGAGTAGTATATCATACTTGCGCAGCCCTCATCCCTACAATTACTGTGTCTCTAAAGAGATTTCATGTCCAAAGATGTGGAGAGTGTGGATGTGGGTGAGAGACATATTCTCACCCACGCCAGCATATCCATACCCACCCATACCCTTTCATTGCTATAGATATAGTGACTTTGAGGCGACAGTTCCAGGGTTGGCACATACTATCAGCAAAGGACTACAATGCGAACTATTATAAAATCTAGTCCGCTAGATGAGAAGAGGAACCACGTTGAAGCCACATACGACTCAATTCTTGGCTTTGGCCCTAGTTTGCATAGTACCAATCAGGACTCAAGCTCTCGAGCTCAGACCGTTTGAGATTCAAGCTTTTCCAAGCTCGAACCGCTTGAAATGCAAGCTTCTCAAATCCAAGTCTGTTTAGTCCCAATTGCTTGAGTTTTGAGCATTCGTACCTTACTATCTCCTAGTGCCATGTTTAAAAGCCCAAGTAAGACTTCCATAATTATGAACTCTGAAAAATAATTATATTTTCCCTAAAATGAAGCAGTGAGTACTATTCTTCTCAAGATACTTGCCGTTGATCCGTAACACGAGTCGAACCAGATGCGGCAGGAACAAAAGAAGTGAAGATGGAGCTAAGTCTTGTTTAACACCAGTATTCAATGACTTTAGATTAGGTGCAGTTAAACAAATATTTTTGAGTTCGTCGAACGTACACTTTGTGAGTTTCAAGTAGACAAGGTGAGGCAATTGCACTGCTTGTAACTGCTTGCCATTCTTAAGCCGTATGCAACGTAGTCGCGATAAAACTTGTGTGTAAGGAAATGGAATAGTAAAATCGCTGTCGAATGTGAACGCACAAAGATGATCGAATTCTGCAAAATACGGGAAGATGGATACCCATGAATCTGGGTTAAGTTGAATCAGTGACAACGATCGAATTTGGGAGAACTGTGTGATTTGAAAGCGAGACAGAAAGAGTTTGCTTTGATTTGGTGTGTCTGAGCTGTCGGAAAGGGTGAGAGCGATGACCTGTTCAGGTGAAATGCGCTGGCAGACAAGATCAAAATGGGTTCTGAGGATTGACTTGAAGTCAAATCGATAGTAGGGATACTTCAGCAGCACATCATTAAGATGTACACTAACACTGGAAAATGCCCGGAGAATTTCATGAGCTGAAAGGTAACCGAATACAGTGTAAAGCAGTTCGATTGGAAGAGTGTCCAGATAACAGCGGTACATGGCAATTAAACAATCTGAGAGCCAAGTTTACTGCGTCGAATAAGTCACATTAGTAATATGTCGCCTGCTTCTCTCCAGCTTTATAATGCGAGACGAAAACTATTGTATGCGCAACGGCATGTACTCTGTAGGAAGAAACAGAAAAGAATGGCGATGCGTGCTAGGAAGTAGACAGTTTGATGTAAACATCAAAGTAGTGGATTGCTGTGTGTAACATGTGCTTGTAGTCTATCAAAGAATAGCGAATCTCTAACTGATGAAAGGAAAGTGCAGCAAAGTCAACTTCCTGACAGAATAATACAGATGCTGAAGTAGTTTATTTGCAAATATGTGTGCGCAGTTGCGGGTGTATGCAGGTGTCGTCTATGATAAAGCATCACAGTAGCCAAGCACTCTCTGGTCGGCGAACGATGCCCTAATAGGGGATGAGTGTGCGCATGGCTCTGACTCTAGTTCTGGCTGTGGATGTGGCTGTGCGGGTTGTTGGGGGTGTCCCTGCTAAGAAACACCAACGAAAGCTCCGTCTGATCTATGCCCGATGAAGGGTGGGGATGTGGGCGTGGGTGTGAGTGTAGGCGTAAATGCCGATATGAATAGAGAAGAAAGCTACACTGGCACTCACACCCAGACCACTCCACACCCACACCCACACTTACACCCGCACACCCTACACCCACAGCCACACCCTTTTCATTTTACCGGCAGATTCTACGCGTCTGCTCACCACCCATGCACACCCACACCCACATATTTCATTCCTAGATTAAGCATTCAAAAAAAACTACTTTCCGCATCCGATCTCGAACTTGCTGATGCATACGACTATGTGGGCATAATTTATTTCTTCAACAGGCAGTATCAATGCGCAGTGACATTGTACGAAAAATCACTCAATATTCGACGTTAGCAGAATAGTCGGCTTGCATCAACCTACGAAGCGCTTGGTAATGCTTACAAAAACCTTGATGTATTCGATTGAGCATGAAATAATTGTGAAATGGCCATGACTTCTCATTGAGAAAGAAAAGAGAGATGATTATTACGAAGTTTTATGCACACTGTACAAAAGTCTAGGGAATACGCAACGACGATTAAACTTACTCGACAAGGCTCAGAAAAATTTATAACCATCGTTAGGTTTGCATGTCAATTATCTAACGAATATTGAAGAACATGATGAACTACGACGTAATATATTAAAATCTCCAGCCCAAATCGACAAGGCAGCTCAGAAGATTACGCTCAGAAGTTCAATATGCTCAATTCATTAAAGGAAAGACAAGCTCTTGATTCGACTAGCAGAAAACTAGAGGATGAGTGTGGGTAGTGATGTAAATGTGTGTTTTTTTTACACACCAAGAGTCACATACCTAATACATCCACAGTCCAGCTATATCTATACCCACACCCTATATTGCATTTTGTTGTACTAGTAAATATTGCTGTATTTGATCGTATGAATTATTGATGTCAAATAATTGAAATATGTGTTTATTAGAAAAGAACAAAATTTGATATGATGTCCAGATTATTTTGACTTTTTAATTATTTGTACGTAAGTTTCAAGAGTATTCTTTATCTTGTTTATTTTATAGTGAAAAAAAACTTGTTCTTGTAATTTTCATTTTAAATTTTAAAAAAGAAACTAGTTCTTCAATATTTGATGAAACTTGAGTATTATTTCACCGATACTTTGAAGTTCTTCTATAGTTCCTAAAACATCTCTATTTTGATATTTTTCGAATAAATTAGTACCCGCTTTGATGAAAGTTACACATTGAATTCCTATGTCGGCAGATTTTGATGATATTAATTTTGGGAAAAGTTTTTGTGTTATTTCAATTAACAATGTAATTTCTTTACTATTACTATTAATCCATTTGAAAAGTTTTTTGATTGTTTTAATTCTTACAGCTGGACCATTATTATCCAATTTTTTGAATGTAATCGATGGTGTCCAGATAACACTAATGTCAATTTTCGTATATCCTCCTTTCATTAATAACGTTTTTCTGAGAATAGGATTCGAATTCGAATTAATTATATTGACAGCCGGCAGAATTCTTTCAATAAAAGTCGAATTGGCTAACATGAATTCAGCCAATCGAGTTCGTATTTCCACAGGCGAAGCAAACTTATCAGAAGCTTGACTATATATCGCATTATACAGACTACCTTTACTACCATCTACACAAAGCAAATCTGAACCATCAATTGATTTCCAATAACTGTCATGACATACATGATGTTCACTGGTTTCTTTAGTTTGGACGTATAACAAGCGTATTTTACCATCATCTTCTATTACTTTGTCGCATTCTTTATCTTGAATCACTGAAAATTTTAAACCAGTCATAGCTGATATCAAGCCAAGCTCAATAATTCCACCTTCTTCATTTTCCAATACATTAAGAACCAATTTTTCGAGCTCGTTTGTATCTTTCATTGATTTTTGTCGAATTTTGTCAAGTTTTTCTTTAGCATTTGCTTCGATCTTAATCTTTTCGCATTGAACATCGTTGACGAATTTATTCGAAACCCTATTAATATAACGTTGAATGCTGATATCTTCCATTTTCTCTCGTACAGTTTCATGGTTTGTATCCAAATTTTTTTGTACTTCTTCTGAAACAATTTGTACCATTTTTCCAAGAACAAACTTTTTTATTGGTCCAATAAAAACTCCTTGAATTAATGACATTAATTGATTAACTAATAAACTGTAAATTTTTTGTTGAAACATACTCTTTTGGTAAGTATTATTTAAGTTGCGAACAAAAAAATTTATTACTATACTTTTATAATCACGTTCAAAGACAATTAAATCAATTGTTTGTAAAGCCGCTTTGAGATTTTCTATAGAGAAACGACGATCGATGATCTGTTCATTAGCTACTATTTGTTCAATTAAATTTTCGTACGTATTCTCTGAAAACGAATCTTTATTTAATGATTCATCTTTGCTAAGAATTTTATGTTCTTTAAGAATAAACAAAATAGTTTCGGCGGCTTCTCGGCCAATATTTTGTTCTTTTGAAAGTAATTCAACTAAATCGGGCATCCATTTCGCTAGTTTTTCTAATTCATCTTTGAAAGCATGAAAAAACTTTTTCGTTACTTCTATAGTTTGAAGTGCATTTTGAACGGTTTTGATGATATCGAGACTTTTCTGTGTAATTTGTAATATGTTTCCCATCGTACCACCTTTGCTTTGAAAATGACTTAGGAACACATTGGATAAACTATTGGCAAATGATTTTCCTATCTCAATATAATCATTGCAGCTATTAAGAATACTGAAGGCAATATATTCCATTTGAGTTTGTAATTGATGATTTTGATTATAAGCATCAATAAAGAAAAATGTTTCCAATATTTTTTTATATTCTAGATCTTTATCTGCCAAGTCATCCATTGATGATTCGACATAGTTAGTGATGTCTGATTTGATTTGTGCCAATAGATGATTATTTAATATATAGTTAGATGAATAATTTAATACTTCCCGAGTACCAGTTTCAGTAGTTACTATCGCTACTTGTTGACATGCTAAGCGTAAACTATTTCTAGCAGTAGTTTCAATAGCATCTTCTGCAACTGATGCAAAACTTGTTCGAATCAAATTTTTCGTTCCATTCCAGGTTTGTTTCAAGAATTGTGAAGTTGATCTCGTACCAACTTGTTGAGCAGCTCGAGCTGATTGAGCTACAACTGATACATCTAATGTACAAAAACATATAGCTAAACTAACACCTTTTTGTATGGCATAATCTTTCCAATTAATATCTCTTGATATACATCCTCGTACAGCAAAATACAAATCATTGACACCCTCATTAATTAGTGATAAACTTAGTGTGAAACCAATACTACAGGTAAATGCAGTAAGACAAACACCACCGATGATTTTTGCTGTTGCTAATGTTGTCATTGTCATTACACTGAACCATGGAATTGGATTTAGTTCATTAATAAAAATTAGTTTGTTAATACTATGTTGATCAAATTCAAATAATTCATCTTCAGGTTTATCATTTTTATAATAATTATCTTCAAGTTTGTTCAAAATAACATCCACATCCTGTTCGTTCGGATCGAATTTTTCTAAAATTCGTCGTGCTTCGGAGTATAGAAGATTATTAAGACAAACTAAGAAGTCTCGTTCTTTTTGACTTTCTAAAAGTTTTGAAGCTTTCTCAATATTAAGACTAGTAAATTCAATCGCTATTGGCTTATTGAAAATTTTAATAGCGTTTAATGCTATTTCAGAAGATAATTTGTTAAATGTCAATGAAAAAAATATATCGTCAAGCGACATACAGATAAGTATTGCGAAGAATTGAGAATTAATTGATGTGAAAGATATCGATGCTATTTGTTTATGAGTATTCTGATTCATATAATCTAAAGCTTCATGTTTTGTTAAAAATTTCATACTTTGATTTATAGATATGTTAATTGTTACACCTCTATTGCATTTTTGAATAAAATCTTGATATTGTTCAGGATTTTTTGCTAGTATAGTAATATCCATTATTGTTTCACTGCTATTTATAAAATCACATAAATTGAATAATTCATCTCTATTTAAATCTTCTATATGTAGATTTATATGATCTATATATTTCTTATAAGATTGAATAATATTCATGGCCAATGTTTCTGATTTGGGTTGAAATTGAATAGAAATATCTTGATAATTTTCCATCATTAATTGTAATAGTTTTATACCTTGATCTTGCTTTATAACCATATCTTTGTGTATTAATAAATTATGAAAACTTAATTTAAATCTAGATCTATTAAAGTAATCATTTACAAAGAATTTTTATATACTGTTAACGTTGGAATTAATCAATTGTAATGCCTTATGTCTTTCTACTTTTATTATTGTACTAATATGTTTTCCATTGAATATCATTAAATCAACTAATTTTTGAGAATTTTCTATTGTTAATATTGCATTTTGTATATGATTATTGTATAAGTCAATAATGTTGGTTTTAATTGTTAATTGCTTTGATAAATCGTCACAATCAGAATTATTATTATTATTATTATCATATAAATTCAATTGCATACTATGATACGCTGGTAATATAAAGTTATTAATCTGATCTCGTGCTTTAAGTAAATCTGCTATTGCATTTTCTTTGTACTTGTCTGATTTTTGTTCAATTAATAGATATGCTTGACTAACATAAGCTGTAAATGAATATATTGGATTAAGTTGAATAGCAGCATTTAGACATTGAAGAGCATTTTCTCGTTCGACAGATTGTTTAGTACCTACTGATACTATTTGTCTAACAAATTGTTTGGTACGAATGAAAAATTGATGAGATTTTATAATTAACATATCTGCTTTAGCAATATGATAGAATGGATTTTTAATGATTTTATCTTGTTTTTGATATTGATCTCGAATTTGCTGTTCAAACTCTGTATAATCTATGAAATTATCTTGTTTATTAAAAGCATCATTTAATTTTGAATATAAATGTTTGTCATTATAATTATTCATTGTAATTAATTCTACTAAAGTATCATCATCTTCATCTTGATATTCAGATACATATTTAAGAATATTTTCAGAATTATTAATATCAAATGAATAATACATAACATCGAATTCACCGGCTAAAAATATTGTTTGAATTGCATTTCGTCTTTTGTAAACTATTGGTAATTGATCATAGTTGGTAAAAACGACTATATTTATATTGAGAGTTCTCATTAATGCTTTCATCATAGTTTCCTCGATATATAAAATGTTGTTATTATTATCAATATTTGTTAGAAAATCTTTATAACAAGTTTTATTTTGTAGAATATGTTTAATCATTTGTTCTTTTAATTCTTGATCAGTTGTATGTCTTTGCAATTGTTGATTAATAATATGATAAATAGAATTATTAGAATTATTATCAATCAATTGACAACCAGCCATTTTTATATTTCTATCTAAAGAGAATTTTATTTTATCTCGACGATCAATATTCTTTAACCATAAACCCCATTGTTCTTTAACACTCTTTAATTTATATTCATCATCATCAATTTCACGTAAATTACTCAAAAGATGACAAAATTTTTGAAATAATTGATCTTTTAATTTAATTTCTGGAATATCCTTTGTACGAATTTTATACAATTGATCGGTTTCAGCTTTTTGACACCATTCACGTAAATATTTAATCTCATGTAAATCATCTGTTGATAAATTAGGATGTTCATCAATATACTTCGAATAAACAGATAAAAGATAGGAAATAAAATTTTCTATATTTATAATCATTTGTGATGTACCGCGATTACCTTGACGTGATGTTCGACCTAATGCTTGTTGTTCAACACGTAGATTAATTGGCATAAATGTTAAACAAACATGTAATCTCCATTTTCTTCTAATTGTTTACTAGTTTTTTAAATCTGTACCACGACCAGCTAAATTCGTTGCGACAATAATATCACCAATATTTGCTTGACTATAGATAACATTTGATTCTCCTATATCTGTATTATCTGTATATAATTTAACGATTCCATGTGAATATTGTTTACGAAGTTCTTTAAAAATAATTTTTGCATCGATTCGTGTTTCTAAAATAATTAAAACTGAACGATTTCTATTTGCTTCTTTTATACAACTTTGTACGATAGTATCAATCCATTGCTTTTTATTCTCGACAATAATAGTTGGTAATTTAATATGACATAATGATTTATATCTTGGAATTATAATTGTATCAACTGAATAAGCATTACAAAGTAATTGTTTTGCATCATTTGAACCAAGAGTACCTGTTAAACCATAGATTTTATTTTTATATCGATCAAAAAAACCAATATTAGATAAAAAGTTTGTAGTTAAATTAATTGGAGTTAATTTTAATCGATGTTTTAATTGTAAAAATTGGTGTAAACCATCACTTAACATTGTACTTGATTGAATAATACCTGTATTTGAATAATCAATAGGTGTTATGCGATTAATATTTTGTTCATCTATTTTAATCATATAATGATGATCAAGTTTATATTCATCTCGAGCTAATAATGCATTTTCAATCCATAATGATAATTGAGAGAAAACAAATGTTTGAAGATGTTTTGGAACAGTTATTTGAGGATTATTATCGAGAATTAATGATTTAATATTATATATAATAGCATATTTATTCAAAATTTTTTCAAATGTTGGATTATTAATAGCTTGCCAAATAGCATTTAGAATAGGATTTAAGAATTCCATACCTAATATATAATCAGCTAGACGAGCGATTTTATTATTTTCATCAATTAACATACTATCTACTTCATCGATAATTACAACATCAAACGATCGTTTAGCTCTTGTATTTAATAAATTAAATTCATCTCGTAATATATCAAATTGAAAACTACTTACATTACCATAAACAATGGATGATTCATAGCCAGGGCCGCCCCGACCGGGGGGGTGTCGGGGGTGTAACACCCCCCCAATCATCAAAAATTTTCGTTTTTTTTGCTCGCAAATCGAAAGTTTTCTTGCGTTCTGTTAGCCAAAATGATATTACACCCCCCCAAAATTTGCAACACTTGACCTTCTCTTTCGAAAAAATTCGCTACACCCCCCCAATGTTGGTCTACTCGGGGCAGCCCTGTTCATAGCATTTTTTAGGACCTGATATATAGATATGATTATGTTCACCATTGTGTGATACAGTTAAATTGAACATATCATATAATTTGACATATTTTTCTGTATCACGTTGCGCTAATGTTGTTGAACTAGTAACAATATCAACATGTAAACCTTGTAATGCTTTAATAATAGCTATTATTGAAATAATCGTCGATTTTCCTTCACCAGTAGCAATTTGTGCTAATCGTCCACGATCTCTTTCATTACTATTAAGTAATAATAAAACAGATAACAATTGAACATGACGTAGTTTGTAGTTACTATATAAATAAATAGCACGTTGAATAACAGAAATAATTTCTGATAAATTTTCTTGTCGTTTGGCCCATATATGATTTGATTTAATTTCTTTACTCCATTCTTTTATATTATCTTGATTCCAATTCTCTATTGATAATGTTGTTTGTATTAATGAAGATTTTTGAGAATAAACTAATTGAATCGATTGAAAAAGCTTTTGTATATTTTCTTTTCTACTAATAGAATCTAAAACTGATATATTATTTTGATTTTCTTCAAATATTTCTTTAATTAATTGTTGAAATGGTTTTTCAATTGTATTATTTTCTGGAAAACAATGATTTATAATATATTTGTATAATTTATCAAAACATTTATTTGATGGTTGAATACTGATTAATGAAATAATTTTTTCAGCTATTGTATCATTAATTTCATAATCATTTATAATAGTTAAACACTGATTAAATTGTTCCAATGTTATCGATTTCATTTGCATATCATTAAGCATTAAACTAAGATTAGAAAAGTTCCCCCTAGTCGAACATCTTGTAAGCAAGATCTTGAAATCTTGGGATCGGCAAACAAGATCTTATTAAGATCGTGAAAAGATAATTTGTACGTACATATTCTGATTGTATCAGATAAATCTGTACCTGAGATCTTGGCAAGATCATGAAAAAGATATTGTTTGCTATTGTCTTCTCACAAGATCTTGAGTAAAACAAAAAGCGACATCATTCGTGTATATATTACATGCTGACTAGTCATTCACCGTTTTTTTTATGTGTAAATAGCGGTATATAAACAACATGATTGACCATATAAGACATGAATTTTGTAAATAATTTTTTTTTCTAAATTATTTCTCGACTCTTTATGTTCGAGAAAATGCTGATCTCGATCGATGATCGAGAGAGGACTACTCTGAAGTGGTCTGATGGAGATCGGACCAATTCAAAGCAAGTCCGATTCCAACATATGACTTTCTTGAATCATTCAGGATAAAAATAGTTAAAATAAAAATAATTTCCAAAAATATTATAACATGCTTTTACAGAAAAAAATAAAAATCTCGCTGTGCGATAGGTTCGAACCATCATGGCACATGCAACACATTATATCTTAGTGTATTCAAGATCTTATGAATTCGTAGCTAAGATCTTACACATCTATACGCAAGATCTGACTACAGCTCTTGGATACAAGACAATCTTACTATCTTGTACCTAAATTTTCAAGATCTGTTCATTTATCTGTGCCCAAGATCTTGAACAAGATCTTACTTACAAGATGTTCGACTAGAGCCATCTGACAGAAATTTTTTGTAATTTTTCTATTGTTAAGTTTTCATCGGAAACTTGATGCAAAAATTTAACCAGTTCATCTAGTTCTGAATAGCAATGCAAAATTGAAATAACTATATCAAATGATTGATAATTATTATAGACATATGTTAATAAATCAATTATATAATTTATAATAGTATAAGAATACTTCAATAGAGAAAAATGTTTGATAACATGTTCTCGAATAGAATATTTACTTAAATTATTATGCCAATTAAAATCATTTGATTTTAATCTATTGACAGATATATCTTTTAGAGAAATTAAGATTTGATTAATTTTGTTTAGTTCCAATTGATTATGTTTTTCAATAAGAAATTGTAATATATAATCTCTCTCTTCATTGTATAATTCATAACCTTTTGATTCTTCTAATTTTGATAAATTATCATAAAACCTATGAATTTCTATTGGATTTTTCTCTATTCCCATTCGTACAAGTAAATCATAACATAGACATTCTCTAGACCATTGATTTACTGGATAAATTTGAAATATATTCGGTTGAAAATATTCAATTGATATAAGAGTACGAATAATACCTAAATATTCATTAATCGATGAGATTTCTTTTGTTAGTTTATCTTGATCAACTATTTCTGGTAGTAAAACTTTTGTCAAAAATTCAAATGGTTCTTCAATATAATTATTTAATATTTGATATTGAAGTATAATAAAACTTGAACGAACTATTAAAATATTATCATTTGATAAATTTTCATTTAAATATGAATGAAGAATATTAATTGGTATTTGTTGATATTCAGCAATAATTTCAATAATTGATAAAATATCAGGATATGTTTTAATTTTATTAAAAAGAATTTCAATAGTATCATTTCGAAATGTTGTATATTGTTCAGCTAATCTTTGAATTAAATTTAATATAGAATTTATATCAGTATGTACAAATGAATCCTGAATAATATGAACAATATCTTCTGTTAGAATTTGTCCATTTTCTATAACTTTGCTTAATATTTTAACAAGAATTTCCGTATTGTTTCCATTCAAACTACTGGATATGTAATATAGAAGATCTTCGGATAATGATTGTCCATTATAAACTGTACATCGAAGTATTTTCAATATTCTAGATTCTATTTTTGCTGAAGGTTGATTCATAAGTATGCTATATAATTCTTCAAATTTGTAATTTGGTATTTTAATTTTATAATTTTCAATTAATTGTTCGATTTGTTTGTTCTCATTTGTTCCTAAATCGTATAAATATTCATCAATCATTAGAAAATCTATTCTATTTTGTTTTTGTAATATTTCTCGTATGATTAATTTTGCTTCTTTAGTTGTTGATGGTTTAATAGAAAGATCAATTTAATTTATTATTATTCTCTCGTTAGCTTTCCAACCATTTTGACAAAGTTTATTCAAAAATTGAAGAGTATTTAGATAGATTAATTCATCTTGTAAAGTTATAATTATAGTTTCTATGACTTGATCTGGTATAATTTGATGATTTTTTGAAATAACAATTTGAAGAATTTCAGATGCTAATAGACGATACTCTTTCTTAGTTGAATATAATAAATTTGAAAGTTCAACAAAATGATGTTTTAATAGAATTTGTTCATGAGAAACAGCCCATTTTAATTTATTGAATAAATTAATATCTTCATGTAGATTTCGATAATTGATGAATTGTAGTTTTTCAATAATATTCGCTGGTAATTGTTGAATTCGATTGACAAGTTCTAAGATTTCTAAAACTTTTTCATCTTTATTAATTTGATAGAGACATGTTAATATTTTTTCAGTAAGAGTACATTTCTTTATATTCACCATATAATAAATAATTTGAATAGCATTGCTTTGTAGTAGATGATCTTTTTCATTTAATCGTGACGTTAAAAGTTCTAAATTTGGTGGTGTAATATTACTTTCAATTGCAAGTTTTACAAAAATAGAAAGATTTTGTTTTAATTCTAAATCTAATTCATTTATATTTTCTAAAAGTTGATAGATACAACTTATCACATCAGTATTTATATGATTTGTATTTAATTGTAATAAATTTGTATAAATAAGAATAACATCTGTATTGACTTGAGTATCATTAATAAATTTTTTTAATTGAAGAAGAAAAGTATCAGAAACTATTTGATGATTTTTAATTATTTGAAGAAAAATTTTAATTAGATAAACTTTATTAGTTTGACTGCTTTGATTAGAAATTAAATCCGATAGACTATTTACTATACTATTATTTAGATTTTGTCCATCTGAGGGTGTGGGTGTGGGTGTGGGTGTGTGGTAATAGCTGTATATCTGAGTGAAGTTTGAGCTCCTTCTTTACATCGGCACCCACCCCACACCGACACCCATACCCAACGCGCGGTTTTTTGTGGGTATGAATGGGCGTGGGGTTGCGGGTGGGGAGGAGCTGCAGATGTGGGGATGTGTGCGTGCGGATGTGGGGTGCTGGTGTGTGCTGTGGCTATGAGGGTGTGGGTGTTGGTGTGAGTGAGACACCGTCTCTAACCACATCCACACCCAAATGTGCATCCACACCCACCAACACTCCACATCCACGCCCACACCCACCCACACCCACACCCACACCCACACACCCACCCACACCCACCCACACCCACACCCACACCCTTGATTCAGACAACTTGATTGGGGGACCTCAACTTCATCTCCCGGTTATCCGTTATCAACAAGATCCCCTCTTAAATCCTCAACTTCACCATCCATGCATAGTAATATCCGAGAAACCTGGAATAAACAATATACATGATCCATTCGACTACAAAATGGAAGAAAATAGTATGAGTGATGAAGATACTCCTGAACTTGACTATACAACATCATTCAAGCCACAGTATTAAACCTCGAAACTTTTATCATAATTAAATATATTTTTGATGCTTTATTATGATAATGACAATGACTGATCAAACGAATATCAAATTCAATATTCTATATGTAATATAATCAGGATAAGAATGTATCCTTTATCTTTCTAATTCATTTCAGCAATCGTTTCTTTCTGTTTTTTTTTGTGCCATTTGTACTTATTTGATGAAATAAATAAATAAGAATAATTTTTTAAAATACATTATAGTTTCATTGAAATTTCATCCCATTGCATTATTCTTAATGATCAAACAACAAGCATATAAATAATCAATCGTCGAATAATGATACTCAATGAAATTAGTTGACTATTATTATTATTGTTAATCAGAATGAGGATTGATAATAAATCTCCGAAAACAAATGAGGAATTCTTCTAAATAAAAATCATTCTGCTGTAAAGTATACGGGTGTGGGTGGGAGTCTATTAGTGTTCGTGTGACTACTCTGAAAAAAAAAGAAGTTTTACAGAACCCTTCGAACAGGTTCTGTAGATTTCGAAAAGTCTCCAAATGTGTCCAAAGTCTCGAAAAAAGGATAAAAAATTCTACAGAACCTTTTGAAGGTTCTGCGTTTTACCCACTCGCAGAACCATCTCTTACAGAACCTTTTTTTAGGTTCTGTAGAGCAAAATAAGGTTCCGTGGGAAAATACCAAACCTTTATGATTCTGTACAACACCTTGAAGGTTTTGTACAGGGTGGGTGTGGGTATGGGTGTGAATATCCTCTTGTCTACCAACACTCACACCCACACCCAACAACTACTTCTATAAAATGGTAATCTTGATTATAACAAAGAACATCTAAAAAAACGAGAAAACAAGCAGTCGTTTTCGTTGTAAATTTCCAAAGGTTTTTAGAAGATAGCATTAGCCATATGTACGTACATAAAATCATATTATTAGAGTCGTAGGTGGTGAAATCAATGAATTTTGAAAATTAATTTCGATCTTACTTACCAAAGCTTTGAATAGTCTAGAATGATAGCGTTGACTCATTTTTCTAACTTGTGTGCATTGAAAATGCAAACTGTTCAAAGTTTTATGTAATTTTCTTTAAACTAAACAATACATAGAATATCTCTATGTAGTCGTTCATAGTATTTCTTAAAAGCATCGATTAGCCTTATCTATGTGAGAAAATAAACTCTAAGTTAATTTCTAACACTGATCAGAACGTGGCATATCGTCTTTAATTCAATTGATCTAATCGTACATCTGCTGTTTATTATGATGCAATTTATGGCCAACTGTAAATACTAATAATAGATTGTTCACTTTAATTCTGTCGAAAATTTTTTCTTCTAATATAACTACTATGAGAAATCAGTAAAAAATGGTAGGTTCAAACATGTTGAAAACTATTTTTAATAAAACATGATATTACCCGAAGAAGAATTCTAGTTTAATGTTATAACCAAATCAGAAGAGACTCACCCATTTTGTAAATATCATAAGTATAAGAATGAGAAATAAATAGGCTATTTATTAACAAACGCATTTTCTTACGGACATACACTGACACTCAGCAGAACGAGAACGATTTGTACCCTGAATATTGAGATAAAATGTTCAATATAATACCTAGCGAAGAATATAGATGCAGCTATGAAAACTCTTTTAAATACATTTGCAAATTTGTTGGCACTTCAATGACAAACTAAAGTATATAACATGCCGAACTTACAGATACTGGACAAGTACTACTAAAATATTTATCGAACCGGTGTAGTCTAATGGTAGGATCATGAGACCTTCAATCTCGTTGTCTGGGTTCAAATCCCAGCGCCGGTAATACTTTTTCTTTTTGTGACATCAGGTATATTTCAACATTCATTTCATCATTTTATCGCATGTAATTTCGCAAGTTTTTATGTTTGCTATGAAATATTCTTCATGACGATAAGAACATACAAAATACTTTGAAAATTCTACTTGATTATCTCACACTTTGTCACAGATATTCCATTGAATAGAAAAATAAATTTTCAAAATACTTGTAAAGTTATCAGAAAATCGATTGCTAGATTTTGCCACTCTGGAGTCTTTTTTTCATATGGTTTAGGTTGAATCATGCGTCACAGAAAGACGTTATATGAGTGAGTTTTAATCAACTTAAGAAATTCGAGTGATCATCGAACGCTTTATAGTAATTTGCATCATTTCGATTTATTTTCTACTAATCTCTGAGACTCACTATATACATCAGTTCTCTAAAAGCATTTGTGAACATGCTGTGTGACTTCAGAGAAAGTAATGAAAAAAAACAATTCGGTAGACGATGCCATTATCTATTCATGTGTTATTTCCTGTTTTCCAGTTATCATTGAAAACTGCTTACTCAAGCATTTTTCACAGCAATGAGATAAGAAAAGAATGTACTATCAATGATTATAAACAATAGTAGTGAGGAGATGGTGTAATGATTTCGTGTTAATCTACACACACTTTTGTTGAGAAATCGACACTTCATCCTTTCCTCTGTTTTACATGAAAAATCATCGGCTTTACATTTCTATAATCGCACGGATAAAGTGTCATTCATTCAATTGTTCTTTGTCATGGTCATCGACTTCATAGAACGAGCTAGGAAGTCAGCGTGAACAAGGATGGAAAAGAAGAGTATTAAATAGTATCGAAGTGAGCATATAGACACAAACAAAGATATGAACAATGGAAGGGTGTGGGTGTGGATGATGGTGGTTGTGGGATATTGAACTTTTTTCTTTCTACACCTACACCTACATCTACACCCAGCCATATCCACACTCCATCCCACACACCCACATCCACACTCACATCCCACACCCATATCCGATAGTTGATAATTATAACTTGGGTTAAAATTTATAACTACGGTTGATACATATAGCTCAACTTTTTAATCATTTTAACTTTTTGAAAATCAGCTTTAACTCCAACAGTGATTTCAACTATTATCCGTTTCAAAATATAAGAGCCATGACCATTTTTTCAATAACTTTTGACAGGAGCAAGATAGAGGTGTGCAGTTTTCGCCATTAGAAAGAGAAGGCTTAGACGCATCAATCCATGCTCAAATATGATTGGTTGACAATGCACCAATCAGGTGCAATCTCGATGGAAATGTTTAGCATCCATAGTGGAGACATTTTTCGAGTTAACTCTACCCTTGAAATTGTATACTACTAGAAAAAATTGTTCTCTTTCAATCTACGAAAGACTCACCTTTCTGACTTGTTCCGCTCAAGAGTTATAAGCGTTTTCCTAAGAACCCTGATTTCAGCCAATTGACCTTGGATCAAGCAGAAAACTATCCAGGATGAAGTAATTCATCGTGCTGAGTCAGAAGGGGATATTTATTTTTGGATTCAAAACCATCTTTCACTGTATTTTAGGAGTATTCTACATTTCAGAATATCTACCGCTGTATTACATGAATTGGGGTGTGGCTGTGGCTGTGGCTATGTGGATGGGTGTTAGTGTTCATCGCTTCTTCACCCCCACCCACACCCTAGTGTTTTTTATGGTACTGTGTCAGGTGGCTTTGTAACCTGACCCAGGAAGATTTCTTGTACCTGTGATGGCGAAAGCAGTGTTGTACTTGGAAGGCCTTCTGTGCGTAGGTCCCTGTTGTCGTTTACGTATGATATACATACGCGCATGCAAAACCAGGCCGGCTTGGTCCCCTCTGCGTGTACCCATTTCGGGTTTACAGGGGATTTCCATGGTCGCACGCACTCGAAAAGGAGCCAAGAAGAGTCAGGGATTGAGGTAATTAGCACTCCAAATTAATTTATTGAGCAAGCAAGAAGAAAAACAACATAGTTACATTTTCTTTTTCATATAGTTAATGTTGTCTATTGTTATTTTAATTAGGGGATGCGCTAATGGAAGAGACTTTTGAAGAAGGGTGTGGGTGTGGGTGTGGGAGTGGGTGTGGGTGTGGATGTGGGGTGTGGGGTGTGTGTTCTTAATGATGACTCTGACACGCACACCCACACCCTTATTGAAGATTCCGTGTAAAACACTTGGAATACATACAACGGCAAATATGTGATAATCAACCAATTTGCATGTGAAAGCATGAGATTAATATTGAGTGATTTTTTTAAATTCACAACGTGAAAATTCATTATTGCTATGTCTTAGTCAAAAAAAGGCAGGCGAATTTTAGTTTCAATCGATGGACGATTAATTTTGATTAGAAAATTCCGAAGTACAGTTAAATTATGAAGCAAAGTCGAATAATATTACTAATATTATTAAATAAAGACAAGGAATATTTTCAAATTGGATTTTGAAGAAGTTTCACATGATCAAGAATATAGACTCCTCTGTTAAAACTACTATCATGACCGGTTTGACTCTTTTGAAGCACTCAAAATAACCTTTTCAATATGTTTGTTCAAGTTGAATGATTAAAATGTGCTAGAGGAGTCGGTAGCATTATTTCGAGAGGTGACTTCTCACGGAATGCTTGAAACGTCGATGACTGCCGAGTTGTCGAAAAATATACGACGAGTCAAAAAATGAGTCGTGGATAGAACTGTGTCCGAGTCCTCAAAATTCGATGGATGTCGAGGAAATCAAAATTGAAACAGAACGCACGAAATATATATGTATCAAATTTTCGGCCGCTTGTCGCACCCATCGTACGCTTTTTTGTTTGCCCGAGAACAGCAGTAAAAAATCATAATAAGTAATAAACTTTAAGCAGTTGAGTCGTCAATTAATGGAAACATTTCACGAAGTCTCATACATAATATCATTGACCGATTGTGTTTTTTTTTCAAATGAAGGATTCTTAAACGAATTCTACATCCACATCCTCGTGTAGCTGATTGAATGTCGCTACCATACATCATTGATATGTATGTTGACATTATTTTTAACACATTCTTCAATGACTCAGTCATAGATATTTTGTTTTTTCATATTGTTTTATCAATATTTACTTCACTAACATACATGGCAACTTCAACATCGAACAAACCACGTTGTGCAACATGCGCAAAAGTTACCGGTACGTTTATTTGTTATGGATGTTCGCAAAATTTTTGCTTAGTCCATGTTAATGAACATCGTCAATCGCTCATCAAGCAATTGGATGAAGAGGTTGTTATCGTTCATGATCAATTAAAACAAAATTTTAATGAGAACACAACAAAACCTCGCCAACATCCTCTAATGAAAGAAATCGACGAATGGGAACAACGATCGATTGAAAAAATTCAGCAGACTGCTAACAATGCCCGAAAACAATTGCTGAATGCTATACAAAAACACATGGATAATATAAAGGATTCATTGACACTTTTAACGCAACAGCTGAGTAAATTACGTGATGATGATGCATTTTTTGAAATTGATATCAAAGAATGGAAAGAGAAACTGATCAAATTCAAGAAGGAAATGGACACACCAGAGACGATCAAAATTCGTAATGATAATATCAGTCCATTTATATCCAAGATTTTGATTGATGAAACATCATCAGCTACTGATATTTTTGAAAGATCAGATGGAAAAGCTCGAATTGAGGATAATGGCCGTTCCATCATTCATATTTACTCGGCAAACCACGCACCAGTTCGCTGTAAAAGTGAATATACTTCCGGACAACATCGATTTCGTTTCCGAATAGAAGAACTTGGCAGGAACAAATGGATTCTCTTCGCAATAGTATCCAAGGACGCTGTCATTATGCATAACTCATATAGTACTCCCACTACTTATGGTTGGGCAGGACTTAATCAAGTCTTTCTCAATGGTGTTTGTAAAAATGGTTTCAATGGTTATAAAAGCGACATGGAAAAGAATGACACAATTGAATTCTATGTCGATTGTGATCAACGAAAAATTCGTTTGAAAAATGAACGAACTAACAGTACATACGAACTTGATGTCGATGTGGCTCAATCTCCTTTTCCATGGCAATTAAGTCTCAATCTTGCCGATCCCGGAGATCGAGTTTGTTTAGTGTCATAAAAGTTCGACAAATGCTCTTTAAAGTATTTTCTCTTCATTAACTCTAACAGTGTCTATGTGTGAAACTTATTAGTATTCAAAACAAAGAGGTATTAAAAATGAAAATAAGTCTTTTTTTGTTTGCCTAAAATGACTCAAAGATTGGAAACAATCTCCTGATAATAATCGTATACAAGTCCTTAAAAATGAGTAGACCTAGCCGTATTTGATGTAATACGTAGATAATAACTGTTTCAACCGAGATATGTCCAGATTTCCAAAAAAGTAGATATCAGAAAATAAGAAAACTTTTCTGATATCATTTAAAGGAGCTCATGCACAACAGCGAAATTTCCGTAAACACCAATAGAATAATAAAGAAATATCAGCAAAGTTTCTGAATTCTAGATATGTTCTGATTTTTGAAGTTTCCTTCAACTTGACAACTGCATAGCGAACCGAATGAAAATCTTTTGGGAATGTTGAAAGGTTCGATACCAAACAATTTAGAATACAAGTGCTTGAATTTCCGAAACGCTCCAAAATTTCCTTTTTCAGAAGTCTAAGCATTGCTATTTTTGTAATTTCTCGCTATGTATTAAACCATGGTATTTATGAACTAGTATAATCTGTTAACTTAGATACAGAACAACAGTCAAGATCATGAGAAAGCTTAACAAATGAACAAATATGTTGATTATGAGGTATGACCATCTTGTAAGCATAAATATGGAAGACATAAGAAAATTTAAAAATTTGACTATGCTATTCATTTTTTCAATAAGAAATGCAACAATCAATAATTTCATTTTAGTCTTTCTTTGTTTTTTTTATTCTATTTATTTTAAAATATATATTCTATTTCGCTAAGAAATAAAAAATTGTAAATCTAAAATGATGTGAAGTAATGATTCAGAACAAAATAAAAAAGATTATTTCGATTTTACTAATCACTATTTATCTTTTTATAATTCCTATGAAAATTTTAAGTCTTCTAAATTTTCGAAGAATGTTTTCGTTTATACCAAAATCTTACAGTTTTTTAATGCTTTCGCATCGTATGACTAATTCTGATTTATTTGAAAAATTTTCTTGGGTATCATTATATCTAAGAGGCATTGCACCTAAGCCACGACCATTTACGCGGGACCTTGCGCAATCGATGTCACCGATTTGGCTGA